CCCACCAAATATAAAAGGAAGAGAAGGTTGGACCAGGGGGTCAAGGGCCCTCCCTGCTCTGATGTTCTTGGTTTCTGGGATCTGAGCTCTTTTTCAAAAGTCTGGTCTCCCAGAGCTACCAAGGGTGGGTCTAAGAAAGGGACACCCCATCAGGCACAAAAACCAAGAACAATTTTGAATGAAAAGAAGATGCAGAATGCTAATGAGGGGTTTCTGGCATTGAGTGGCATCCTGTCAGAGGTCAGAGCTGCAGAATCAGGAAGATCCAGCTAGACTCCCAGCCCCACCATGTCCTAGTTGTGTAGCCCCCAAGCAAGTCACCCTACTGGCTTCAGTTAGGACAGGGAGGGAATGTTCCAGAGAGCAGGTTTGCAAGCTGGGGCTTATACCCCACCTCTGACACCCTTGACCAGTGATTTTGTCTTTGAAATGGGGATGTTGACGGCACCAACCTCACTGGCTTGTTGTAAGGATTAAATGAGATAATAGACGTAAACTCTTAGAATGGGCCTGGTCGTTATTCTTTGAGCTTTGGTTTCCTCACTCATAAAGCAGGGATAACAAGACTGATTTGAGCAATAAAATAAGCAAATGGACCTGAAAGAGTTTTGAAACCTGCAAGGCTAGCCAGAGAACAGGGACTTCCCCTATGACATGCACCCAGACCTGGCCAGGACCACAAGGGCAGCACCCACTGGACATCTGATACCTCCCTCAGGGCAAACGTGCCACCTCACTCATTGCTGGTGGGAGTAGAAAGCGGCACTATCTTTCTGAAGGGTAACTGGAATTATGGGCTGAGAGCCTTAGAAAGATGACCAGTAACACCTGGGCAGCAATATATCTTAAGAAATAATCACAGACACAAAGATTTATGGTACATGGATGTTCATCATAGTGTTTGTTATAATAAAGATATAACTGGAAATCATTTAAATGCCCATAAATAAGGAATTGTTCAATGAATTATACTGAACTATTCTGCAGATACTGAATTTATAGGGAATTTATTTGCCTGGATGACTGCATTGTCCCCTGTTTTCTCTGCTCTTACCCATGTCCCTTTATTGTCTACTCTCCACACAGCCCCAGCCCTATGATCAGATCATATCACTCTTCTGTTCACACCTTGGCACTGGCTCCCCATGGTGCTCCGTGCAAAAGTTAAAGTCTTCACCAGTCCTCCTGCCCTGCCGTCTCTCTCTCTCTGGCGTCACCTTCCTTTATTCTCTGATTCAGCCACACTGGCCTCCTTGTTCTTCTCCGAATATGTCAGGCATGCTACCACCTTGGGCCATGGTATCCTCACCAGAATTGAAGGGGCCACATGGTGCCTCCCACATCAGAGCCCTCTCCCACCCCGTGCATCTGCCCTTGGCCACAGGGGTAAATCAAAATCCTGGGGTCAGTAGCTTCAACACCGTAAAACTTGGCATTTTAAATCATGAGTCTGATAATCACAGAGGCCTCAACTCACAGGATCTGAGAATCCCATAGGTGAAAATTCAGCACTGGCCTTGAGTCCAGATCCAGAGCCAAGGAAGGGACCCCATAAGAGTCCAAGGATTCCAGTCATCAAATTTGACACTCCCTATCGGGAGGCATCTTAGAGCTCCTTGAACTCAGGCTCAAACTGAGAGCAGGAAACATGTCAACAGCAGCTGCAGCAGTCCCCTGGCCTTTTCGGAAAGGTCCCTCCATTCCCGGGGCAGCCCTCTCTCCCACAGCAGCTCTGCCACTGAATTACTCTCTCAAAAGCATCCTGCCTGCTTGCACTTCCTCTCCTACAGGAGCAGCCACGGTGGGGAGCATGTACTGGTATGACTGGTAAGGGACCTTGTTTATAGGCCAAGTAGGTGGCCGTCACTATATTAAGATGAACAGGCATCATTTCCCTCTTCTAACAGTTCCTGGCTTCCCAGTTCTGGTGCCTGCAATCATACCATTGGCTCCCAAACCTTCCTTTTTTTTTTCTTTTTTTAAAGATTCATTTATTTATTTATTTATTTTAGACTGTGCCGGGTCTTTGTTGCTGCACACAGGCTTTCTCTAGTTGTGGTGAGTGGGGCTCCTCTTCATCGTGATGGCCTCTCATTGCAGTGGCTTCTCTTGTTGTGGAGCATGGGCTCTAAACACACAGGCTTTAGTAGTTGTGGCATGTGGGATCTTCCTGGATCAGGGGTCGAACTTTGTCCCCTACATGAGCGGGCAGATTCTTAACCACTAGATCACCAGGGAAGCCCCTAAACCTTTCTGAATCCTTTCTGTTCAATGCAAATACCATAGATGGAGGATTCCCTTGTAGCAGTGAACTCACATTTACTGATCACCAAATCTGCCCCAGTGGCTGGCTGTCAGGTCCTTTACCAACGTGGCTTCACCAGGTTTTCCCACAGCTCAGTGAGCAGCTGTTGTTTTCAGATGAGTAAACTGAGGCTCACGTGGGTCAGGCAGCTGAATCAGGGTCATAGAGCCAGCATGTATGGTAAAGTGGGGGCTGAGCACCTTCCCAAGCCCTTTACCCTTTTGGCCAGGCTGTGAGAGACAAGGCAGTGTGGTGGGTGAGGGCCGAGGGTGAAGAAGTCACAGGTCCTGAGCTGAGAGAATGGAGATCTGGTTTGTTGCCTCAGGTGAGAAACTCTGTAAGGGCATCTGGGAGTCAGAATTCTCTGGGTATTTGTGTCCAGCAAGTTCCAGCTGAGGTAGAAAGCCAGGCGTGTTCAGGTCCTCACCTACACTCTTCACACAGGGAGCTACAAGACGGAGCACAACTTGGGTCTTACAGGAGGGCAGGCAGGCAAGAAAGCCACGTGGACTGGGCTGCTCCTCATCCCCTCAGCCAAGCGATCTCACCCTCCTCAGAAATCATTCCCCCATGTTCTCATCAAAACCCAAGCATACTGTGCTGGGCTTCAAGGACATGGGGGTAGATGAACCCTGTCCCCTTTTCATATGTAGAGGGGAGACAGAAGGGGGTGACCATGACACAGTGTTAAAATGGTCTGTCTTCTCAGCAATATCCTTTCTCCACGGGTAGCAGGGTCAGCTTTAAATTTGTGAATCCCCTCCCTAACGCCCTCTAGTGGCTCCCAATACACAATAAAATCCAAACTGCCCTCTTCTGGGTAGCCTGCCTCTTGGATCCTCAATGACACACACACCTCTCTGCTCTTCAGACACATCTCAGGCTTTGACAGGAAATATCCTCACTGCTGGAAATCCTTTGGGCATAATGGATTTTACTGTCCATCACATTGCTCTATTTTAAGCCGCATATACGTGTGTGTGTGTGCATGTGTTTGTGCTCAGTCATGTCTGACTCTGTAACCCCATAACCTCCAGAATTATGTCCACAGGATTATCCCAGCAAGAATACTGGAGTGGTTTGCCATTTCCTCATGGCTGAATCACTTTGTGTACACTAGAAACTAAATACAACATTGTAAATCAACTCTACTTCAATTAAAACAAACACACAAACAAAAATACCCAGAAAAATCAAAGCTATGGTATTAGAAGTCAGGATAGTAGTTACCTTTTTGGGCTTGCCCCTGGGAGGGCACAAGGGAGACACTGGGGGCTGGTAATGGTCTGTGTCCTAATCTGGGTGCTGGTTACATGGGTACCGGTTACCTTGTGAAGAGTCATTGAGCTCTGTACACTTAAAGTGTGTGCATTGTTCTGTATGTATGCTACCCTTGAATTAAAAGTTTAAGAGTAATATATATATATAATATATATATATATATATATATAAAGAAAAGAGATCATCTAAAGTTGAATCTTATGGGGTGACTGTCAGGAGTGGTAGATGGCATTCCAGGCAGAGGTAGCCCTGAGCAGCTCAGCACAGTTGTGAGAGTCCTACAAAGCCAGCCATTGTTGCTGGACCAGAATGAGGGTCAGGGAGTGATAGGAAGTGGGCCTGGGCAGGTCACAGCCCCTCCCCTGGAGAGTCTTTACCTTTCACCACTAAGTGATAGAAAGCCACAGAAGAGTTTTAAAACAGAAAAATTGACATGGTCTGGTTTTTGATTTAGAAAAGACCAGTCTGCAGGATGGTCAGGAAATGCAAAAGTTAGGGGCTGTTGCAATAGTCCAAGGGGAATGAACAGCTTCGAGAGTCATCAAGAAGCTAAAGTCAGCAGAACTTGGAGACCAGGGTGGAGGTGAGGGAGGGAGGGGACAGAGATGACTCCCAGATTCCAGGCTTGGGCAACTGAGCGGATGACTATGCCCGTCACTGAGATGGGAACACAGGAGGAACAGGTTTGAGGGTGGGATGTGAGGTCTGATTTGGGGCTTTCCGAGTTTGATATGCCAACAGGACAGTCAGATGGAGGTGTTGGGAGGGCAGTTAGATTGCCCTTCTCCAGGGCGCAGGAGGGTGAACTTTAAATATACAAAGGAAAGGAACTAGGGGTCAAAGCTCAAAAGAGAGGCCAGGGCTGTCCCCTCTCCCCCTTCTCATGAGAACACGTCTGGAGATACCCACTCACCCAGGAGTTGGGGGTGACACCAGAGGTGATGACACAGCCCTGAAGGGCTGACTGGGAGGAGCTGTGTGCACATGGATGCCCACTGGGACACAGGATTTCCCTCCACACTGCTGCCCCGCATGTGGAGGGTGAGGGGTGTGAGCAGCCCTGCTGGAGGAGAGGCGCAGCTGCCCACACCTGACTCCCAGTCCGGCCCAGGTCCAGCTCACCTGAGTTGCCCTCACAGGTGAAGCACCGGAAGCGGCGTTTGGGCGATGGGTGGTATCTCTTCACTCCCAAGCCCAGCCCTGCAGGGGGCCATAACACGCGAGCAAGCGACACGTGGGGCGGGCGGTGGTGAGAGGCAGTGGGCTGCCCCTCCCGGGGCCCTCCGGCCGTTACCCCGCGCCCAGCAACCCGCACGCTGCCGTCTCCAGCTGAGTCCCGTCAGTTGTCCCTCTGTCGGCTGCCGTCCGGCAGTCCCACCCGCGCCTCCAGCCGAGTCCCCACCCCGCCTGGTACCTGTAGTCGCTTTTCCCGGAGGCCGCCCCCTTCCAGGCGGTCAGAAAGGCCATGGACGCGGGCCCGACTCGGAGGGGGCGCGGGCGGCCCCTCGCGGCGGCGGCTGCCGTAGCGGCGGCTCTGGTGGCCGCACCTGGACGGGGTGGGCGGGGCGGGCCCCGCGGCTCCTCCCCGCCCGGCCGGGCGCCTCCCTGCCTGGCACGGGCATTGGTGTCCGAGAGCCGACCTGCGGTCCCCGGGCGAGACCACTCCCGTCCACGGTCGTCGAGACAATGAGAAACTGAGCCCCCTTCCCCCACCCCAGGGATTTGTCCAAGGTCACACAGAGAGCCAGTGGCAGCGCCAGGACCTACCCCAGGCCCCTCCACTCCCAGTATTGAGCCTGTGCTCCGTATCGAGGAGTGATGGCGTCACCAATGCCTTTCCCACCTGCCTAAGTGCAGAACCCGCCTTGCCAGGGCTGTACCTGAATGGGGTCAGGGGCTTGGGGCTGCCCTCAAAGTGCGTGGGCACAGAGCAGGAGGGGCCGGCAAGGAGCGGACAGGAGGAACGGAGCTGCTGGAGTATGGGAGTGCAGGCTGCTGGCCGAGCACCGCACTGGGACACCGCCCTGCTCACAGACTCTGGTTCCCAGCCCCTGCGGGAGGTGGGAGACAGAGGAGAATGAACCTGTCTCCAGCACAAACTTTCTTTGGAGCCCCATATTTTGTCTTAGGTAATGTACATTTTAACAGTAATAAATAGAAGAATCAGCTCTGGAGCAAGTGAGCCCCTGGCAGTGCAGCCCAGCAGGTTGCATGGGGGTGGGGAGGGTGGGAGCTCGACTAAGGGTGAGGAGCAAGGGAGCAGCTTGAGGAGGTATTCGAGAAGGATCACTCCAAGGTGGAGTGTGTAGGATGGATTCAGGGGTCCCTGGAGACTTCTGTGAGGGAGTGGGGGGTAGGGAGGTGAACACAGGTCAGGGGGGCAAGATGGCAATCTGTCTCCTTTTGGGCTGGGTCTGTATCCTACGTCTTGAGCAACACAACTGATGCATCAAATGGTGACTGACTGTAATGTGCCAAACCCCAAGCTAGGTGTTTTGTAGATTCTCATTTAATTTCATCTTATTAAATACTCACCCCCATTTCAGTTGATGCAGCTGAGGTTCAGAATGGTTCGCTGACTTCCCCGAGACCAAGCCTTACAACCAGATCTGTCTGCTCCATCTGGTGCTCCCCCCAACCCTGCCTGTGGCCTACAGGTGGGCAGGGCACGGAGTGGGAGTCCTGGTCAAAGCAGAGGGCAGAAGCCTCAAGGCTCACCTGGGCAGTTTCTCTCACTTTTCCTTAATAAGCAGCAGAGAAAATACCTTTTCCCTTTTCTCTGAGCACTCGTGTCATGGTCTTGGCAGATCAACAAGGGCCCAAGAATGCAGCCTATCTGACCACAAAGCTAGAGCTTCCAGATCTGGAAATTCCAGTTACAGTGTACTCAGGAACCCAAACCCCTCAGCTCACAGAGCTTTGCCCAGTCTGTCAGCACTGGGCACTGCAGATAGCCAACTTCCTCCTGGGCTCGCAGGCATGAATACCACAGGAGCAGAGATGGCCTGGTCTCCTATAGGCACCAAGCCAACTAATCCTGAGTGGGACTGAAGTCCCACCCAGCCTCCAAGCCCACAACCACCACTACTTCTTATCGGAAGCCTTCCTGTATCTCCCAGTGGAGGGCTAGCTCCCTCTTCAGAGATTAATTTTCTCTCAGCACTTAGCACTATATGTATTTTTAATCCTCACATTGATTATCGATGACCATATTAGTCCCACTCTTCAGATTTCTATCTGAAGGTACAGAGAATGTCTCGCATTTGCATCTTCCACGGAGCCTAACACCATTGTTACACATAGTAGATGCTCATTACTGAGAGAATGAGGGACCTAATATTTATCAAGTTTCTATTCAGTGGCAGACATTATGCTGAAGGCATTTACATACACTACCTCTATTCTGGGCAACTCTGCTTTGAGAATATTTGAGTCAAGTTTAGAAATGTTCCTGAGATCAAATTAGGAACTGGGGGGAATTCTCTGGAGGTTCAGTGGTTAGGCCTCGGGACTTTCACTGATGGGGGAGGGTTCAATTCCTGGTCAAGGAACTAAAGATTCCTGCAAGGTGAGTAGGGTGGCCAAAGGCGGGGGAGAGGGGGAAGAACTGGGATTCAATCCAAGGGTTCTCAAACTTCTCGGCTTGTTTCCTGTTCTTCTTTGACATCTGGACAGCTTCATCATCATATTATTTTCATCACCATCATTTGCTTAGAACTTTGTTAGGCATTATTCTAAAACCTTCTTATGTACCAACTAATGGCATCCTCAAAATAATCCTATCAGGTATGTCCTTTTACAACCTCAATTTCTATAGTTGAGAAAATGAAGCAGAGGATTAAGTAATCCGCTGAAGATAACAAAGGCTAGTTAAGTGGCGGAGCTAGGACTCAACCCAAGCAGCCAGACTAGAGTCTGTATCTTAACCCCAGTCCCAGTCTGCCTGCCACCCAAGATCTTAGAATACACATAGTATTTATGAACCACCTTCCCAAAGTTTATCTTGAATCTCACGTCCCCACCCCCCACCCCTCAAGATATAGCAGGTTTTATTAATATTCTTTCCTGTGCTCTGAAGCCAGACTGCCTGGGTTAGAATCTTGGCCTAACCACTTGATAACTGCTTTTGACTTCAGGCAAATTACTTAACCTCTCTGTGCTCCCGTTTTCTCATCAGTAAAATGAGGATAACAACACCTACCACAAGTGTTGTTGTGAGGACTACATGAATTGATGCAAACAAAAGAGAATAATGCTGGACAATGTGGGATAGTTTTATCCAGAACCAGTGGGGAACATTTAGTATCAATAAACTTTCAAGATAATAACTTTATTTCAACAACTTTATTCCCTTAATCATATACAGACATTTTCCTAAAATATTTTTTTCTGTCTTCTTAAAACACAGACATGACGGCTCTTACTTGAATATCTGCCATGTAGCAGGAGTGAAAACTTTATATTCATCATCTTTAATCTTCACAACAACCCTGTGAAGTAACTGTAATCCCCACTGAAGACCAGAGAAGTTAAAGAGATTTACCCAAAGTCACACAGCTAGCAAACAGTAAGGCCAGGAACCTTCTCAGGAGGCTGAGCTGCTCGGGGTCTTCTTTGAGAACATCAGTTCTTGCTTAGGGCCCAGGGCTGCTGCGTTTGGTATCTGTTGACACTCAGGCTCAAAGGGCATTAGAAGGCCAAAGAAGCAAAAGGCAACCTGGTGTGCTGGAAGAACAGGTCTCAAAGTCAATGCACCTAAGCTAGGGTATTGGCTAAGTCATTTCCATCTCTCTATACATCACGTTTTCTATCTGTGATAGTGTTGTGAGCATTAAGTAAGGTAATGCATACTAAATGCCTTAGAGACAGGCTCAGAGATGGTCCTTAATGTCAGCTACTTTTCCTTGTCTCTTTTCCTTTTTACAAAATAACTCAGTCCTCTCAAGTTTTGACTCCAGAGGAAATAGAAAGGAGAGGCTGAAATTAATCTCTCAGGTCTTGGACAGGTGAACACATTCTGTACACGTACTGCAGAGGAGAAGAAAAATAAGTCGGGTCTTTCAGCAAAGACACACCTTCCCTCCATAAGATAATCCTTTACATTATTAACCTGTATATACATGAGGACCCACATTTCTTACTTGAAAAGAGACACTTAAAAAAAATGACTTTCATTTTATCTTGTGACCTGGTATATATTAATAACAAATTCTATTTCACAATTTTTTAAAATGCTGATTATTAACATACTAAAAAATCTACCAGTGTAATATAAGGTTTGCTTCAACATAATCTGAAAGGGAACTGGGTAGGAATATATATAAAATAAGATTGGACATGAACTGGTATTCATTGAAGCTGATTATTGGTACATGGGTATTCATTCTAATTTACAGGCATACCTCATTTTACAGTTCTCTGCTGTATTGTACTTTGCAGATATTATGCTTTTTATAAATTAAAGGTCTGCAGCAACCCTGCGTGGAGCAAGTCCATGGGCTCAATTTCTCTACAGCATTTGCTCACTTTGTGTCTCTGTGTCACAGTCTGGCAATTCCTGCAATATTTCAAACTTTTTCATTACTATTACACTTGTTATGGTGATCTGTGATCTTTGATGTAACGATTGTAAATTGTTTTGGCATTTCTTAGCAATAAAGTATTTTTAAATTAGGGTAGGTACATTGTTTTCTTAGATATAATGCTATTGCACATTTTAAAAATAAACTACAATGTAGTAGAAACACAACTTTTATATACACATGTGATTCACTTTATTGTGATATTCACTTTACGTGGTCTGGAACCAAGTGCCTATACTACTGTTTCCATTTTCTCCCTGCTGCTGGCTGCACTAAACCGACTTCACAACCCAACTAAGAAATTACAACCTACCTGTTGAAAAACATCAAGTTAGAGAATAAAATTATGCACACTCTATAAAAGGATTCTATATACTACAATCATATTAGAGTGGCTGTGTTTCCTTCAAGTGGCATTTTCTCAAGATTTGTTTAAAGGGAGTAAAGAAAACACATCTTATATGGTCAAGCTATTACTGATTCAATACCAGTCAGAACTTAAAAGTTATTAAGGAAAAGCCTTCAAGGGGTTAGGCTACGAACCTTAATATGACGGGGATCAGTGGATGTTTTGTTACAGGGGTGATAGGGCAGATTCCGAATCTATAAGAATCTGACTGCCACATGGAAGATGGTCTGGAAGCAAAGAAAAAAACCGATATTGGTGGCAAGGAGATTTGGAAGCTCAAGCAAAAACCTGAAGAGAGATGATGGAGACCTGAGCTGGGGGAGTGGCGCAGGGGACAGATTTGAGAGACACTTAGAAGGCAGAGTTGTGAGGATGGTTTGGAGGAGGATGAGTCAAGGAGAAAGCCTGGCACATATACTTTCAATAAATGATATGATCAAAGAGAGGGTGAGGTCAGAGCCCAGGGAGTGAGATGT